TTTTTTTTACCTTTGTGCAGACGTGCAGCTGAATTTCTTTTTCTTCAAATGTGCTTACATCAAAATTTCGAACGCTAATGAACTGCAAGGGAAATACTGATTGTCAAGAAAGTAAACACCCGATATATATTGTATGTGTAAACGTCGGGCACAGGGTTGCCAACTGTATTAAGGCTAATTCCCCGAATTTCCTGAAAAAATTCCCCTATTTTCTGTGGATTTCCCCCAAAAGTAACATTTACTATTTAGGGCTATTCATCCCCATTTCCAAGTGGTTTTTTTTTTTGTAAAGCATACACATCTATCATATATTGATGGATTGTTTGTAATTGTCTATAAGTCGGACTAAAATCAAGATATGTTTGTTTGTTTAAATTGTTGTATTGTGCGTAAAATTGCCTCCAAAGTATCTATGCCAAGCCTATTTCTGATTGCAGTTCCTTTTATTAATTTTGGAAAAAATTTCTATATACATATTGATAAAAACTTACTCCTATTAGACTGCTCAAAGTAAGAAATGATAGCAGTAAAAATATAAATGTCAAGTTAGAAGTGTTGTTATTGTTGTTGTAGCAGCACGTAGTCCCCATGTTGGTTGGTTCTAATAAAAATCGTTTGTATACTGAATTCCCTTAAAATTTAAAGCCATTCCCCGATTCCCCCGAGAAATTCAAATTCCACCAAAATCGGGGAATTCTCGCCCGGTTGGCATCACTGATCGGGCATCACATTCAAATCAGTACATATGCATGTATACGTGCAAATGCTGTTGCATAAAGTGGAACTGATTATTTTGCTTTGCCGCTTATCAGGCAGTTGCAAAGGTCAGCGGGAAACATTTGAGTTATATATATGTTGAGAGAAAACATATACTACTTGTACATACTATGCATAACTGTATGTGTCGTGGGTCGTACGAAAAGTATGCGCGGCTTTTTGTAGGAATTAAAAAAATTTCTTTACTAAAAATCTATTTTATTAAAGTACACATTGGCCATTATTACCTAAATCTTTTCCATTGTTTTCGGGTGGCTTCATAATTCCATCCGTGTAGAACTTCTGTGGATTGTAGGCGAACAACTTGCCCAAGGGATTTTCATCGGCGCTTCGGTCGACAAATTTTGTACCAATGGGATTCGGATGATGCAAGGTCCGCGTTATAAGGTGGATGCATTTAAAACTTCAAAACCAAGTTCCGTCAATTTGTTCCGAGTTGTCACAAACGTGTTTTGCGTGGTATTGTATAGGACGCTGTCTTGTTTGCGTGTAAGGTGGTACGGTATAGTGTGCATAGCGGGTATTCTCGTGTCCAGTCATTACGATTTTGGTTACGTCACTTAATCTAAGCAAATGTTATTCAAAAAGCATCATAAAAAAAACGTAAGTGCACCTAGGCCACACTGGAGAAGTGAAACTTACGTTACATATCTAGTTTATCTCATAAGCAATGTATACATACACACATCTGCTTTTGCTGTTCGTTTTATCAACATTCATGTTATTCTGTTTTCCTTTACCTTTATTTTTATCCCGGGACGTGAACCGGATGAAAAGTTTGGTCGGTTCGGTTCAGCGGTTCGAACCGTTTTTGCACTTTTGGATTGGTTCGCCAAAGCGTTTTTTTTGGTCTTTGCACCGGGGTTTCGGTTCGGTTCAACGGTTCGAAAACCATGGTATTACCATGTTTACCAAAAAGAAAAAAAATTGGGTACATTTATCTATTGAAAATTAGTTGAAACAAACCTTTCAATCTTTATAGAAAGTGGTTCGGTTTTCGGTTTGGATCAAAAAATTCCGGTTCGGTTAATGGTTCAGTTAATTAATAGAAAAGAGCGGTTTTCCGGTTCAAAACCTGTTCGGTTCAAAACCGGTTCGCGTGCCTGTTTTTATCATTATACTCTATCAATAACAAAATCGATAGTAAAAGCCATCAAAATATCGATAACAAAACTGATAAAAATATCGATAAAATCGATAAAAGTATCAAAAATAAAATCGATAACAAAATTAATGAAAATATCGATAAAAAATATAAAATTGTATATCGATAAGTTCCGAGAAAACCGAAGATCACTAAAATCCCGAAATAGTTCCCAGACTAAGTCTCTGTTTATCTACTTTTCTACATATATCCTTTTCTTTATAATTACCTTTATTTTAAAATTTCTTCCCCTATCTTCAGCTTTACATTTATCGGTATGGCCATCTTTTCTTATATTATTTTGACCTTTCTGTTTATCAGTTTATTCATCTACACCTTCACCTTTGCCCTTTTCCGTGTGCAATTTCCGTTGCATCATTTCCGTGTGCAATTTCTATTGAATTTGCCCATTTACTTCCACCAACCAACCGCCGCTAAAGAAGCTTCACTTCAAAAAGTAAATAAAAAGATTTTGGTGGCGCATGCCACAAATCGGAGCAGAAGCTCGGCCAAACCAAGCACCAACATATTGTGTAAGCGCCAATCAATATTATGGCAACTACATAGCTGTTCGATTAGCAAAATAAAATGCGTCATTAAATAACGGTAGACAAAGAGCGTTTAAAATTAAGTATACATATTCCTTATCGCATATACAAAAATATGCACAAATACGTATGTAAATACGTACATATGTAAAGACATCTTTATAAATAATCGGTCAGTTGTCACAGTCTGATCTTGTACCCGAACTGATAAGAACAAAATCTTTGGTGATCAGACGGATTTTGAATGCGACTTCTGTTTCGTAAAGGGGAAATTCACTACAAATACGAGCAAAGTACATAAATAGCTACTTCGCAATCAAAAATTTGTTTCAGACAACATGTGAAAAAAGTTCAATAGCAGTGTATGCGCACCATTTGAAGTGATTACAACTAGCGATCGAACTGAAGCAAAACGGTTTGAGAAAAAATATGTCACGCCGAGCGGTTAATTTGAGTATCAACGTGTTACTGCTGGTTGGAGCTGTGGGTGAAAAATAATTTAATTTTATTCAAAAACTATTTTCCTAAAGAAATAAAAACTAAGGAAGTACATCGTTTTTCTTTAAACAGCTCGCTTTCGCCAGCGCTGAGACTTCTGCAGAATATTGCAGTGAGACCACGTGCGATGTTGCGCGCGATCAGCTATTGGAGGCTATAACGGAAGACTACCTCAAAGTACTCGACTATGAAATGAATCAAAGCAAGGAGTTGTTGGAGAAAGTACTCGCCGACGATAGGTTCCAGGATATACGCAGTGAAATACTGCTTGGCAAGAAACT